AAACCAAACCAAACCAAACCAAACCAAACCAAACCAAACCAAACCAAACCAAACCAAACCAAACCAAAAAATCCATCAACCAACCAAACCAACCCCCCCCACACACAAAACAAACAAAAAAAATAAAAAAACAAACAAAACAAAACAAAACAAAACAAAACAAAAAACCTAAAGAAAAAGGCATGTCCCAATACGAAAAAATTCCAGTACTTCAGGTCTAATCTAGATTTAGAAAGCATATTTAATAATCAGTAGGGCAGGGTATTGACAAAGAATGTGTTTCCATTAAGCTTTTTCTCTTAACTATAATTACCTTTCTTTATTGTTTGAATGGAATACCAGCTTTCCTGTACTATGGTTTTATTGGTGTGGTGTTGGGGGTTATAGAGGCATGGTTTGGTTTCAGGTAGCCCAGGCTAGGCAAGTCTACTGCCTCTGCTTCCTGGTGCAAGAACTGCCACTCTATGCTTGGTGGGATCCTGCCTAGAGCCCCAAGCATAAAAGCTAACCTCTCTAGCAACTAAGCTATACCTATATTTACATAAATAAATATAAGTAAACACAACTGTTATTTCTTTAAGAAAGGAAGGCTTAATAGTATTTTAAGAGACTTTAAAACTTTTAAAACTTTTTGTGTATGTGTATGTCTACATGTACGTGCTGTGCTTCTTTGTGTGGTTGCTCTGGAAGCCAGAGGAGGGTTTGGGATCCCCTGGAGCTGGAGTTTATAGATGGCTGTGATCTGCCAATGTGGGTCCTGAAAGCCAAATCCTGGTCATCTAGAAGAATAGTAAGCTCTCTCAACAACTGTGTCATCTCTCTCACTCTAATATTTGTTTCTTTAGATTGTATTTTGAATCAATAATTTTATAAGCACACATAAAATCCCATCACTCAGGAGGCAGAGGCAGGTGGATTATTGAGTTTGAAGCCATCCTGGTCCATAGAGAGTTTATAGACAGCCAGGGCTACACAGAGGAACACTGTCTCAAAACACAACAAAAGCAAAACAAAAGCAAAAACAGCAACAAAAAATATTTTCTTTGAGAGGGATGTAACAATATATGCTACCAGTTAGCTCTGAACATAAAAATTTAAACACACAGGAGTGGGGAGTGGAGCCATCTCATCACCCAGCAGTTAAGAGCACTTGATGCTCTTACAGATGAATTTGGGCTCAGTTCCCTGAACCCACGCTGGCTCACAACCATCTGTACCTTCAATACCTGGGTACCCTGACCTCCATGAGCACAGGCATACATTTTAACAGGTAGGCAGGACAATCATAAATATAAACATAAGTACCTTAATAGTAAAGTTGTTTAAAGTTGAAGGACCCCAGGTGACAGTCTCTAGTAAGCTGGCAATAGAGGCTTTGGTGAAGCTGTAAGCTTTCATACAGAATGTGACCTATCAGCTTATTAAAAGGGAAAATATCTTTCAGATGCTCAACTTACAGGCAGAGAATTTGGGAGGAAGAAGCTAGAAGGAAGGTATGCTGTACTGGTTTGAGGAGTCAACCCCCAAACCTAAGCATGAATAACAAAGAAACACACCTTATCTTTCATTTCCACAAGGTCATGTAAAGGCAATCCCACACCCTCTTTAAAGGTGTGCCTAGGCCAAGGGTGCCTTCCCCCACCATCCCCCAAACTAACTGAGGAGTATTTGTGAAGTTTAGCAAAGTAATACTGTGGACTTAAAATTAATTCTCCTCAGTGAATTAGACAGACAGACAGACAGACAGACAGACAGACACACAGACAGACAGAGGTAAAGCACTAATCCCTCCAATTACTAATATACCAAAAGACCACACTCATCTTAGAATTAGACATTAAAGGTTGATGTCTACAAGTTAAAACCTACTAAAAAGGTGGGTGGAAGGGAAGGGAATAGGACCCTGCATTTTTAATTTCCTAATTATTATTGCTCAGTTTGGTGACATTCAACTGAAGTCACGCTCATAAAATTATCATTTTAATATCAATTTACTCTTTGATATCCACAGTTTATGACAGAAATAAATGGCTAGGATATAAAGTTTCATATAATTTGACAAATACGTGTAGATTTTCCAGCAAGCATTTGTCCTCAGTTTTCAAGTTGAAAAAGGGCTAGGAGATCTGTTGATACCCCCACACAAAATAACCCACCTGCTCAGAGTTGTTTTCTACATCTCCCAAGTAGTCTTGGAGATACATAATGTGCATGTTATCAGGTGAATCATATAAAATTAAAACCTGTCAAACATCATTAATGTAGCATGGCTTACCATAATGATATATGTGTATCAGCAATACTGGGCAGCCCCAGCACTGCATGTCAAAAAAGCTTGTAGGAGGGAGCCTACAGTTCCAACTCAGCATTAACTGCCCGTGTTACCCAGGATTCATCATTCTTCCCATTAACCACAGGACAAAAATCAAAAGAAAACAAAACTCCAGTCTTTGCTCACAACCTTAAAATTATGACGCTTATGATGCTTATGAAGAAATGCATTGTGCACCTTGAATGCCTCTTATAAGGACACAGGAGATGGTTCATAGAGATCCTGTCATCCATGTTGAAGTTGGCACCAGAGTGAGACTAGGCAAATGCTTCATGATGCTGATGTGCTTCTAAACTCCACCCAGCAGCTGACTCAGACAGATGCAGATACCCACGGCCAAACAGTGGATAGAGTCTGGGGATTCTTACGGAAGAATAGGAGGAAGGATTGTGGCCCCCAAAGGGATAAGAACTCCATAGGAAGACCATAAGAGTCAACTAACCTGGACCCTTGGAACTCTAAAGAGTCTAAACCACCAACCAAAGAACACACATGGGCTGGACCTAGACCTCCTGGCACATATGTAGCAGATGTGTAACTTGGTCTTCATATGGGTCCAGTGCCCTCTTCTGGTATGTCTGAAGACAGTGACAGTGTACTCATATGAATAAAATAATTTAGAAAAAAGAAAAGTGAAATGGTCCTAATAGATACTAGTGCTCTGAAGACCAGGAGAGGGACAAACTATTAGGAAGAGTCCCACAGACCACTCAATTCCCAAGCTCAGCAATACAGATAAACAAGCTTACATTCAAAGCCAGCATGCCTGTTTATGGTGGTTTGAATATGCTTAGCCCAGGGAGTGGCACTATTAGGAGTGTGTCCTTGTTGGAGTAGGTGTGGCCTTTTTGGAAGAAGTGTGTCACTGTGAGGATGGGCTTGAAGACCATTCTCCTAGCTGCCAGGAAACAATCTGCTCCTGGCTTCCTCTGGATGAAGATGTAGAACTCTCAGCTCCTCCAAGCGCCATGCCATGATGATAATGGACTGAACCTCAGATCCTGTAAGCCAGTCCCAATTAAATATTGTCCTTTATGAGAATTGCCTTGGTCATGGT